ATTAGTAAGTTTTCGGCCACAAATCTAGTTGTAATCGTCTCTAATGTGAACTGTTTGCGAGATTAAATGTCTATAAAAGAAAGAAGAAAGCGTCGATCAATTTATGTAGTAAATATAATTCTAAAATGATCGTATTAGAAAGTAGGTTGGAATATCAAGATTTGATTTTGTTTTTTATTTGTACAGTATTCAAGACAAATTTGAATTACTGTTTGTTCACCGATGACTGCGAGCTGATATCGAAAATAGCCTTTCAAGTGAAATTTAATATTACATTGTCAATATTTTCAATATTTTATTTGAGCGTTGAATTAAGTTGTAAAAAAGTAATATTTTTATTATATTAGATTTATGAACGAGCCCACGGCCTTTCCGGTTTTAAGTTGTAACTGAAGCCCGTAGAGTAGACATATGGCAATGAATAAGATAAACAAAATTGTTATAATAAAAAGGCCATCAAGGTATTAATCACAATAATTTTTAGATCGCTTGGTTGATGGATGATGGATAAATAAATGGTTGATAGATAGAAAATACGTCATGCCTTAGGCCAGCCTTAAGTCAGCTGAACTCATCTGTTCAGTAAACAATCCCTGCTCTTTGTAATACATTACCGTCTGGTTTTCGCACCTTCTGGTCGATTTACGGAGTAATATTGCGACATTCTTTGCAGAAATTCGCACAATCGGTACGTACGCGTCGATTTTGTAAACCCAAAAGACAATTGCGACTAAGCTCGTTAACTTGCTTTAGTTTCGTAACATTATCAGAACGCAAGGCAAGTGATTTTTTTTTGGACGTAGGCCGTTTGATATGGCCAATTGTTTGTTGCGCGTGAGTTAAACAAATATTAAAGGTTAATGAACAATTTCATATTGTATAGATTTGTATATTTTTCTCTCATATCTTTTTGAGAATTTCTTTAGACGAAGGGATTAGATTGCACTCAGCGACAAGACAGCCTATTGTGTAGATTATATTGACTGATTTTCAAAGATATCTTTTTGTGTATTAAAAAGTATACTCTCTCTCTCTCTCTCTCTCTCTCTCTCTCTCTCTCTCTCTCTCTCTCTGATGCACACACACTCAGTTTAAGCAGTTAAGGTGCCGAGAAAATCAAGTTTAATTTCTCTTGTTCTCATGTTCAAGTAAACATACGTAGCACAATGATGACAAAGATAAAAAATTGTATCAGCAAATAATCTAGCCGCATTAGAACGTTATTACTTAGATCGTTGTTCCAACCACAGATGAAAAGCGCTTCTTAACCTTTGTTGCGCACTCATGTCGTCAAATAAATTAGAACTGTCACGATTTGGTTAGTTTTAATGATAAGATTAGTGATCTTATGTAAACATTTCGACACGATATAGTTAGGTACATGTGTAGTTTTTTTTTTTCTGAACCGAAATATTGTTGGAGCTAATTTACAATTCCTGGAACTTGTTTGTCGTAATACGGCGATTTTATTTTATTGCTTAAAAACTCTTAAGCACTGGCGTTAGATAAAGTAAGCGTAGTTAGGTGCATCATCTAATAAAAGTGTCTTTTAGTTAATATATTTCGCATTTTCACGTTTTCCTTTTTATTCCTACCTAAGCTGATGGTCTTGAGAGACAATTTCAGCATACTCTTAACTAGTAGGTGAGCTCACGGGACTCATACCTGACGCCGTTGCTAACGTTAACTCTAGCACCGGATCGGAAACGAGGCTCACTGAGAAGATCCGGCGAGTGGGTTAATTTACTCGCCGAATCCTTTATCGCAAGCGACGGGTTCGACGAGAACGATGATCGGTGCATGGGGTACCTAAAAGCACCGTTAGTGGATCAGGAGAATCCGAAATGACGTGTTTTGGGCGATGTCGACTGTTTATCATTTGGTCCGCAGGATCGGGAATGTAGTTGCCGACGGCCACGATGAGAGGGTTCTCGTGTCGTGCCGCTTTCTTGAAATGGCGCACTGATGTCGACTGTATATACTTACTGATGGACTCTAGGTCCATGTCGTCGTGGAGGTCCACGTTCCTGATATACCATGGGGTTCCGATGGCTATCGTGCAATTTTTTTTTTTTTTTTTTATTGCTTAGATTGGTGGACGAGCTCACAGCCCACCTGGTGTTAAGTGGTTACTGGAGCCCATAGACATCTACAACATAGACGCGCCACCCACCTTGAGATACAAGTTCTAAGGTCTCAGTATAGTTACAACGGCTGCCCCACCCTTCAAACCAAAACGCATTGCTGCTTCACGGCAGAAATAGGCAGGGCGGTGGTACCTACCCGCGCGGACTTACAAGTGGTCCTACCACCAGTAAAAAAAGCAAAAACGGGATTGTATTATTTGAAGGGGTTTCAAGTTTGTGCGGGCCGCGTGAGCGAACTCTACGCTTGCATAGGTCATGATTATCCTTTTAAGGAGTGGGTGTAACTAATAACATTAACTGGACAGGTTGAACTGGAAGGATTGTTTAGCCTAGCATAGTATTGACAGAAATAAACATAATGGTGGTGATCACAATATTTAGCGAATTTATATGTTATTCTTTCACCATGGAAGCCATTCATGAACAAGTATTAGCTACCTTGGTTGTATCGATATAATATCGAATAAACGATGAGTTTGAAAACGACATTGGAAAAGAACACTACCAATTTAACCACAAATTAATCTACCAATATAGTAATTTCAATATTGTTGAACAGTATTATAGTAGGAATGGGAGTTTATTAAGAACGATTGTTGTGGTATTCCCAGCGTATATAGCGGCGATAATTACTAGATGGATCTTTGCCTTCGGATATTAAATAAATTAAAAAGAAAGGAAAAAACATTAACACTAAAATATTTTAAATTTTAAAAACAAAGAACGGTCTAAAATACCAAAAATAAAATCTTCAAAAGCGTGACCTTGTCTCCGGGAATGTCAATATTTGTATTAGAAAATCGTGACCTTGTCTCCGGGAATGTCAATATATATATTAGATGTTGTAATATTTTATAGGTTAAAGAATCTTGGATGATATCGTCTGTCCAATAATTATTAATTCGAAGGTATATAGTATGCAACCCCGGTCTACCCATTACGTCTCGGTTATTTGTTTGTAAATATAGCCGGTAGGCAGCGGCTTGGCTCTGCCCCTGGCATTGCTGAAGTCCATGGGCGACGGTAACCACTCACCATCAGGTGGGCCGTATGCTAGTCTGCGTACAAAGGCAAAAAAAAATTTATTATCACTTCATTTACCAACTTAACCTCCCACACCAATGACGATGAAAATTATGCCTAAATTACCCAAGAAAATCTATAGCCAGATTAGCAAGTCTTAGTAAAACTTCAGCCAATTGTTGTGGATGAATCTGTCTGTGCAAAATTTAACTAATATAGATAAACGCAAGTAGATGGAAAGCATGGCGATGTGTGACTTTGATCTACATGGTGGTAGACGATAATTTATTGATATTTGAGAACTTTGCTCTTTTGATGCAGTTTGTTGATTTTCTGCCTCCATTCGAAAAGGCTTCTGTCACAGGCCTAATGGGCAGCAGTGCTGAGAAGTATCCATAGATACATGAGTCGTCTAATGGTTGAGGTTTGATTAGTCTGACTTCTTACACTATCATACTTATTCCATCAAAGTAGTAGGTTACTTAGAACAAATATAGTACTAGCGCTTAGTATTTATTCGAAGCGTTTGTTTTTAGATTTTATCGCTTATTCAAACAATAGCACAATGATTTGATCTTGCGAGACGAGTTTCACACGAGACTGATATATATCAAGAATCGAAACTTTTACGAAATGTTAGAAAAAGTGTGTGGCGTTATATTGTTTACACCTATTATAAGTAGTTAAGCTTACGTTTGTTTTAAACAGAAAAATGTCGATCTCTCTACGTAACAATAAATTTAATGATTTTATATTGAAACAGATTGCCATCAACTAAGAATAATAAACTGACTATAATCTCAATATATAGCCGTTCGGTATGAGGATGTTTTTTTTTTCATCCGGGTAATCTAAAGATACAAAGTTTTGATCTTTGGTGTTTATCTTTTACCCAAAGGTGGGAGTAAAACCAATTCTTAGTGAACTGATGTTTTGTAACTGCCATAAAATAACTTGATAAATTAATAAACGAGAAAATACGACCATAATATATTCAAGTTACGATAAAGATGTCAACAAATTAAGTATTACAATACTTACTCACTTTTTGGCGACTCGTACATTATTTGTTTTAAATTTTCTCTATGTTATACTATTTCTCTAAATTGAAATTACTATTTCGTTCGATACGATTTTTTTGTAGCCTCAATGTAACAAATATTAATGTTAAAAATTAATTATTACCAATCAATATACAAACACGTCTTCTGTACTTGAGATATTTATAGTCCGCAGCTGCAAAAAGAAATCCGAAACGAACATTAGAAAACTAGTATTGACTTCCGAAAATTCAAGTGAATAAAAAAAAAAGCATTACAATCCTGTTCTTCTTTATTGCTCAATATGTCCAAAAGAATATCGATGGGGAATTAAAACTATGATGACTTACATAAAATATTTACTTCAAATCATTATTATATTAACGGTAGGCAGCGGCTTGGCTCTGCCCCTGGCATTGCTGAAGTCCATGGGCGACGGTAACCACTTACCATTAGGTGGGCCGTATGCTCGTCTGCCTATACGGGCAATAAAAAAAGTATTAATTTTATTTAAACGAGTTTTTGTTATGAAGCTTAATAATTAATTTATTTAATTTAATTGACTGTTTAATTGAGAAAGCACTTAAGTTTTTTCGTTTAGTAAAAGTGTTACAAATAAAAAATAAAAATATAAGTGCTGTCACATCTTTTTGAATAATCAACAATCTGTAGTTGATTACCATATAAGAATTTCATAGTATGTTTTTTAGACTGTACATTTATCCCCGCTTTAACCGTATATAATAGGAAGACCACCCTTCGAACCGCTTTAGTGATCCGTGGGTGCCGCTGCAGTGGTTCGCAGTCGCGCATTATTGTCTAAGCACGCACAAGAGTCGCGGGAAAAATAAATTTCAAATCTATCTTACACATAGTTTAATTGATATTGTAGTGAATAATAATAATATAGTGTAGTTTTGTGTTTCGCTGTTGGAGTTTCATTGTTTCTGTTTTTACAGGTATGTATTATTTTTATTTAGTAACTAGCTGACCCGGCAGACTTCGTAGTGCCTCAATCGATAAATAAAAGACCTAAGCTTTTGGGGGACACATCATAGGAAAAACAAAATTGTTATTTTTATATAATTCCTAGCATTTTCATATTTATCTACCTTTTAAACCTTCTTCCACAAATAATTCAAGACCAAAATCAGCCAAATCGGTCCAGCCGTTCTCGAGTTTTAGCGAGACTAACGAACAGCAATTCATTTTTATATAATATAGATAGATTGCTTTGAAATTTAAGTTACGGTTTTTCGTGGAATAAAAATTTGAAATTTTACGATCTGTACGATGTTATTTTCGTAATCTGGTCTTTAGATAGTTTTTTTTATCGCTTAGCTGAACGAGCTCACGGCCCATCTGGTGTTAGGTGGTCACCGGAGACCATAGACATCTGAAAAGTAAATGCTGCCACCCACCTTGAGACATGAGTTCTAAGTTTTCATTTTTTAAAGTACAAGGGCACCTACCTACTCGTGTGGACTGAGTGCTACTGGTAGTTTTTTAGTATGTTAAATATATCTATTGACAGCATTTAATTTTGTTCTTTTTTTGTCCATTTTTCGTGCTAGCAATATCTAGTACGAAAAAACATTTCATTTTGAATTTTCAGTGGATTTAAGGAAAATAAAGCGACTGGTTTGAGATTTAATGTGACTTATCTTATGCAGTGATCGTGAGCAATCAAATAATAATATTATGATCTTGATAGTTTTACTATGCTGTACACGCAATGCCATCGAAAGCATGGGAAACCTTCATCTCTATGTTGTAATTGTTACATGTATGAATTCCTTTCTCTTTATTTATAGATCAAATTCAAGGAATATATGGGTACATATCGCAATGATATTTTTTAAACTAGTAGCAATTATAGACACAGTTACGTCATAGTATATGTGGTTTAATATTTGTATATCTTGCTAAATAAATAATGTAAATTTTAGTTAATTGCTTGTGATAAGTTTACCTTTGATAAATATAATTAATTTATTTAATTTTTTTTTAATAGCCTTATCTTTTTAATTTTTTTATGGCGTATTTGATTGAACGCGATCATGGATCACCTGTCGTTAAGCTATTACCGGAACTCATAAACGTCACACCGTTAAAGCCGCCATTCTCTTTGAGACATGAGGTCTGTGATTTCATGTTTGTACTAATGCGTAGTTGACGAAAGAATGAGATAACGTTAGAAAAGTCAGAAAACGTTAAGAACTAAAAAGTTATCTATTCAATATTGGACTACATTTTAGGTATACTAATAAATCTAGTAGCACCGAAGCAAGCGAAATAGTTAATTAAATCCATTGCAACAATACTGTAAACAATGTCAATCATACGGTTGCGAGGGACAATACCTTATTATTTTCCGCTGAAGTTTTTCCTCGACACGGTTACGGCTCAAGAGAATGGCTTGTTGTTGCGAAATATACATGCTCAATGATAACTTATTCGGTAGTACAAAAAAAAGTAACAACTTGAAAAAAAAAACTGTTAACGTCTGTTTTTGTGTCACCGATTTAGGATTTCACGATTTTAGGAAAATTCGTTGATCCGATCCAAAGACACCTCGTAAACTTAAGAATATTCTACCACTAGAATTTCTAAGATTCTATAAAGTTACTGTCCAGCGAGAAATTATTTCACTATAACTACTAGAGACATGTATACTTCACGAAAGAACTTAGTATTGGCACTATTGCTAATTCTTTCCTCAATTCCACTATCTACACCAAATCAAATCAAACCCGCAAAATTATAATTTGCGTAATTACTGGTGGTAGGACCTCTTGTGAGTCCGCACGGGTAAGTACCACCACCCCGCCTATTTCTGGCGTGAAGCAGTAATGCGTTTCGGTTTGAAAGGTGGGGCAACCGTTGTAACTATACTGAGACCTTAGAACTTCTATCTCAAGGTGTGTGGCGCATTTACGTTGTAGATATCTATGGGTTCCGGTAACCACTTAACACCAGGTGGGCTGTGAGCTCCTGTACACATCTAGGCAATAAAAAAAAAATAAAAAACATGTATTGACGCTCTTAGCGAAAAAGCAGCGGCAAAATCTAAAATACGTTACCGATGCTAAAGTAATATATGTACTGCCGAAGCAAATACTACCGATGCTAAAAAGAAAAAATGTGAACATTGTTAACAGATCTCCATATAAAGTCACGAGAAGGAAAGCTTAAAAGTGCGCAAAATTAAACACAACCCTCAATATCTGCTTTCATTATTTAATTCGGAAAATTCGTTAAATTTTAATTCAGAAGTCATACGACAATAATATTCCATTATTTGAGCAACCTAATTGCTATCTTTGAGCTAATGCAAATAGCCTAGAAAACACGCTTTCAAATATATTACATTAGTTTCGTTGTCAGCGATTACGTGTAACACGTTTGAACAGTTTATTACATTGTAGGGTTGTCACATTTGAGATGAAGATGTGAGATTTTAAAAATCATCGCTAAAAATTTAGTTACAACGTCGTGTAAAAATTAAACACATAATACTCAATATCTTGATTTAATTATCTGATGTTCTCTTGATCAGAGTTTTATTGATCGTGAAATTTTAATTTAGAAGCCATACGAAAATAATATTCCATTATTTGAGCAACTTAATTGCTACCTTTGAGCTAATGTAAATAGCCTAGAAAACATGCTTTCAAATATTAGTTTCGTTGTCAGCGATTACGTGTAACACGTTTAAACCGTTTATTACATTGTAGGGCTGTCACATTCGAGATGAAGATGTGAGATCAAAAAAATCTTCGCCAAAAAATTGAGTTACAACGTTGTGTAAAACTTTTTCAATTGTTCTTCGAGCTTTTGTAAGAATTTCTTTCTCAGAATGACATTCAGAATTTTGTATAATAAAGTTTCCTCTGACAACCTTATTACAACTCTCATTATTGTTGCATACTGAATGAATAATGGTATAGTTCTTTTGTCATTATTTTGATTAAATTACAAAATATTGTAATTGAACTCTGAAAATAAACCTTGTTCACAAATAAGCGAAAGTGTTTTTAAATATAAGTATGTACATAAATAAAAGAAAATCATGATCCGTTTTTTTTTTACCGAAGCCCATAGACAGCTACGACGAAAATAACGCCAAATCACCTTGATACATGAGTTTTAAGAAATGAGTTGCACAAGGGAAGAATTCAAATACATAGGTACTGTTTATGTATTAAAAGGTTTGGTGGTAGCCTCGTTATGTCTATTTTCTTCGCTTTCAGAGGGTATTTTTAAAAATACCACGGCCCTTGGCAAAGTGTAAAGAGGATATTCGGCAAATTAAATCCCGTACTTTTATATACTAAGCATTTCATCTTTTGATCAATAGTTATTTTCATGATTTCTTATCGGCTAGCTACGTACACAAATTTGCGGTAACCCCAAAGGATGTCTAACTTAAGAATCTCCATTGAGGCTTTTCGATGCTTTGATTCTGTATTTTAGCCTTATTTCTTCTTCAGCTTCTTCAGCTAGCACAACAGCTCAGATCTTGAGCTGTTATGCTAGCGAGCACCTAAGGCTTCATTATTAAAATCAATCGATATACATACTGTTTTATAGGTGTTGTTTTAATCGCATTCAGGTTACATTCTTATGTCTCAAGATAGGCGGTTTTACCGTATGGCATTTATTTCTATGATCTCCAAGAACCTACTACCGCCATTATAACTCACTTAGTCACACAGTAAAGCATAGACGATGAAAACAAAATCAACAAAGTTAAGGCGACAAAATTCAGAGTGCTCAGATATCAAGGGTTTTTTTTCTTCCGATAATGAAGGGCGTCTGAAACATTACAAGTCATTAGTGCTCCTTCATAGGCAATTCTAAAAACCAATGAAACTCGTCTGGCCGGTCAGAAGAAATCATTAACTTGAAATTACATAAATAAAAAGCGGAAAGTTTTTTTTTCTATCCGTAATCACAGAACAAAGACGTGAAAACGCAAATGCTGCCACTAGCCTCGAGATATGAAGTTGATGTGGGAATTCTATTTTATCTGAAGTCGTCGTGGCCTAAAGGATAAGACGTCCGGTGCATTTGTATGAAGCGATGCACCGGTGTTCGAATCCCGCAGGCGGGTACAAATTTTTCTAATGAAATACGTACTCAACAAATGTTCACGATTGACTTCCACGGTGAAGGAATAACATCGTGTAATAAAAATCAAACCCGCAAAATTATAATTTGTGTAATTATTGGTGGTAGGACCTGTTGTGAGTCCGCACGGGTAGGTACCACCACCCCGCCTATTTCCGCCGTGAAGCAGTAATGCGTTTCGGTTCGAAGGGTGGGGCAGCCGTTGTAACTATACTGAAACCTTAGAACTTATATCTCGAGGAGGGTGGCGCATTTACATTGTAGATGTCTATGGGCTCCAGTAACCACTTAACATCTGGTGGGCTGTGAGCTCGTCCACACATCTAAGCAATAAAAAAAATAATGCAAACGATGATTGAGCGTCCCGCATGATCATAAATTACGCTCCATTGATTTTTACAAAATAAGTGTTATTCAACATGGAAGTCGTTCAAGGACTATTCTTTAATTTGGAAATGAAGTTATTAATATTAAGTCTGGCACTGAGGCTCACTGCTTAGTCCAAATGCGAATCACAAAATGTGAGCTGCTATTAAGAATCTATGTACTAAAATCTTACCTTCTTTTCTCATTTATCGTCTACTGAGGCGTTGAACTTCAGATGACAGTCTGCTTCTACACTTTCACAGACACAGACTTTATTTCACTGAACTTATAAAATTCATGTATAAAATGGGAGCTTTCTAAATTTATGTATACGAAAAATGCACTTAAACATATTTCATACCTTTACGCTTCAAAGCGCATTGTCTGGAGTTGATTTAAAAAGTCACAGTTCAGTCACTTTTTCTGTTGAAATGATTATTTTATTAGTCAGGACGATTTA